GTGGGAGTCATAAAAGCTCCTGTAGGTGTGATGTGTAGGTGTCCCAATACGTTTGTCTATATAGTGTGCACCCAATGGACTGTATAACTGTACGCTGAATCACTGACTCACTGAGACGCTGACTTGCGTCACATAATGACTCGTACATTCCATCCATTCTTTTAAAGTGCTTTGTGCTACGGTCTGTCTCTCCATTGTGTGGATAGACGAGTGCTGGCTCTCGTGTTGTCAGCTTTTCTGAATGGAGATGTAAAATTCATACTGACCTTCTGCCAAAGGTGCGGCTTCAGAGCCAGGCAGGAACACGCAGCCACAAACCAGCAGTTCCCCACCTTCCCCTGATTCAGATCATGAGCACTGATACCCTCCACGAACAGACGAGGGTTTTCACAGATCTCCTACAGAGAGAGAGAGAGAGAGAGAGAGAGAGAGAGAGAGGGAGAGAGAGAGGGAGAGAGAGAGAGAGAGAGAATCTTAATTAGGGCTATATAGGAGAAACAATGAGTGTGTATACATGCACTCAGTAATCCGACCATAATCAGATTTCTGCAGTTATCCGATAATTCAAACGGTCATGCAAACACCATACTCTGATCTACAAATCTGATTAAGAAATCTGATAAAGAGGCTGGATTTTAGCTCAGTAATCAGATTTCTCAGTGCATGTGAACTCTTACTCTGATTTCTTTCGTTTCTCTCAGTCTGCACATGTGCGAAAACAGACTGCTGTACCAGAAATAAGCGAGCCGCGTCGCCGTGAGACACAGCAAACACAGTTTTGGAGCGATGCTTATCTGATTACTCAAGTATTGCATGCAAATGTGTTGAAGGATTAATGACAAAATCAGATTTTCTGCAGTTATCGAATTATTAAGTGCATGTACTGTTTGAAACTTAAATGTACGTTAATGTAACGTTTACTATTAGTCTAAATGTTTACATCATGTAAAGCACAGGTGGGGTGGATGCGGTCACACCAGTGAAGCTTTTATAGCTCATTTGGGAGCACGGAGAACTGTAGATGTTACAAAAGGCCATCCTTAGGTCGCTGGGTCAAATTCGGATTGAAGGACAGCTCGTTTTAGCTCTGCCATTTCCCTTCGGGATCAATAAAGTTCTATCTGCCTACTGAGCTGAGTTGAAGAGGGTAAAATCATTTAAAGGTAATCATGATGAAGATGATGAGTTTATTTTGATTTTTTTTTCTTAATATAACTTATTTATCTATAAATAAGTACTCATTTTCTGTAATTCTAATAGAGGTGGGCGATATGGCAAAAATATAATATTTTGATGCTTCAAGAATCTTTCACCATACATGATTTATCACAATATTATTTTTTTCAGACATCTGATCAGCCGGAGCAGAGAAAAAAGAACCATTTAAAGAAAAATTCTTTCAATATATTGTCATATTTCTATATTATAGTCACAGTTTATAGGCAGCCAAAGCTCTATTCTGAACTCTGATACAGGACAGGGCTCACTGTCTGTAAAGTCTAGTAGTGTGATTTAGTCCAGGATGGTTAGGTTTATGGTTTTTAAGTTTACTGTGTTGTTTTTAATTTCGGTTGTATCGTCCTGCTTTATAGTGAGGATACTGCAGTGTTGGTCATGCTAATGTCAATCTAGTATTCCGGTTGATTACTATGGTTTTGTATCAAGGCAGATGTGCCATTTCTGTTAACATAGATTACTATATATATACACATCATTAGTATTATTATTATTATTGTTATTATTATTATTATTACATTTTCAGGTCTCACTTTATTTGTATGATCCACTATAGCCCCCTATAGATTCTCTACAGATATTCAAAGTGTTAACAAACTGTCTGTTGAAGCTCGGTTGATTGTAAGCAGTGGTGGGGTTACGGTCAGGATTTAGACCAGGGTTAGGGCTGGGTTTAGGTTTTGGGTTGAGGTGAAGGTTAGGGTTATGATTAGAGCAGGTTTAGAGTTAAAGAGTGTTTTAATTTAGTAGATTTTCAGCTGAATGTAACCTGAAATTAAATGAAGTATCTACAAAGCATCTAAAGTGGACGATCCAAATAAAGTGTATTGTTAATAGAATTAATAGAAGTATATATTAATTATATAAAAATAAGCATTATTAGCAGTACTAATCGTATATTATATATATTACAAATTATACAATAATGTTTCATAGATTTGTGTTACTTTAGAAAGCATCAACATGAGCAGCTATGTTTCAGCTGTGGTCACTGGGCTCTGAAACATCTGGACACATTCCCCTGCTGTCCAGAACATTACTGCAGACAAAACAACCTCACTGGTGTTACACGGCGGTCAGATAAGTGAGTGTTTGTTTTCTTTGTGAAAGAGTTGAAGTCCTGTTGGGGTCAGAGGACTGGCTGGGTCCCTCTACAGCCAGGGCCTGTTTCCAATTAAAGAGTTATTCACATTTCAGCACTGTCACATTTACGTAACACAGACTGATCAGAGCAACTACACACACACACACACACACACACACACACACACACACACACACACACACACACACACACACACAAAATCACTGCTCACTGTATTGCATTCATCTACCATGTATCTACACTCACTGTCCAGTTTATCAGTAGTTCTACCACCACCCAAATAGTACCTGCTCTGTGAGGGTCCATGGGGGTCCTGACCATTGAAGAACAGGCTAACAAAGTATGCAGAGAAACAGTTGGACTACAGTCTGTAACTGTAGAACTACAAAGTGCTCCTATATGGTCAGTGGAGTCGATAAAGTGATGACAGAGTGAAGAAACATGGTAGGTGTTTCCGATAAAGTCCAAAAACAGCGCACAGCTGGGAATCAGCGGCCAAAGATCAATCAGTGTGCTATGCAGACTGTGTTTGAATTACTGATTGCTATCATTAATCAAAAACCATGAACCAAACGCACACCCTTTTGTGTTTTGTTGTGTGTGGTGTTTCCAGGCTCTTTTTTGTGTTCGTGCCCATCTGGCCGTTGACTTCTATCACAAGTGGGTCATTCTATCAACGGTGAAGCCGTGAGAATGAGTTTGACCTTCAGAATAACCTTCAGAAAACTGGTGTCTGTGCAGTCTTTGATCTCTTTGCTCTATTACTAAATAAACCTACAAAAACTGTGATAATTCTTCTTTATGACTTATTATTTAAGTGGTTATTAGTCGTGTTGTGCACACGGTAAAAAAGAGAGGTTCCAGTCTTTTAAGCTGCACTGTGTAAGTTTTGGGGATTGTGTAACTGGACACAGTGTGTGGAAGAACATTCTGTAGCACGGGTTGTGCTTCAGTCCCCTTCCTTCAGTGGTGTTATGCTAAGTGGTGTTACAGTCAGCGGTGTTATGCTAAGTGGTGTTACAGTCAGTGGTGTTATGATCAGTGGTGTTACAGTCAGTGGTGTTATGCTAAGTGGTGTTACAGTCAGTGGTTTTACAGTCAGCGGTGTTATGCTAAGTGGTGTTACAGTCAGCGGTGTTATGCTAAGTGGTGTTACAGTCAGTGGTGTTATGCTAAGTGGTGTTACAGTCAGTGGTGTTATGATCAGTGGTGTTACAGTCAGTGGTGTTATGCTAAGTGGTGTTACAGTCAGTGGTTTTACAGTCAGCGGTGTTATGCTAAGTGGTGTTATGGTCAGTGATGTTATGCTATGTGGTGTTACAGTCAGTGGTGTTATGCTAAGTGTTGATACAGTCAGTGGTGTTATGCTAAGTGGTGTTACAGTCAGTGGTTTTACAGTCAGTGGTGTTATGCTAAGTGGTGTTATGGTCAGTGATGTTATGCTATGTGGTGTTACAGTCAGTGGTGTTAAACTAAATTATGTTAAAGTCAGTGTTACAGTCACTAGTGCTACAGTCAATGGTGTTATGCTCAGTGGTGTTACAGTCAGTGATGTTATGCCAAGTGTTAATGCAGTCAGTGGTGTTATAATCAGTGTAGTCATTGGTGTTACAATCAATTGCTAAGTGGTGTTACAGTCAGTGGTGTTATGCTAAGTGGTGTTACAGTCAGCGGTGTTATGCTAAGTGGTGTTACACTCAGCGGTGTTATGCTAAGTGGTGTTACAGTCAGTGGTGTTATGCTAAGTGATGTTACAGTCAGTGGTGTTATGCTAAGTGGTGTTACAGTCAGCGGTGTTATGCTAAGTGGTGTTACAGTCAGTGGTGGTACAGTCAGTGGTGTTATGCTAAGTGGTGTTACAGTCAGTGGTGGTACAGTCAGTGGTATTATGCTAAGTGGTGTTACAGTCAGCGGTGTTATGCTAAGTGGTGTTACAGTCAGTGGTGGTACAGTCAGTGGTATTATGCTAAGTGGTGTTACAGTCAGCGGTGTTATGCTAAGTGGTGTTACAGTCAGTGGTGTTATGCTAAGTGATGTTACAGTCAGTGGTGTTATGCTAAGTGGTGTTACAGTCAGTGGTGGTACAGTCAGTGGTGTTATGCTAAGTGGTGTTACAGTCAGCGGTGTTATGCTAAGTGGTGTTACAGTCAGTGGTGTTATGCTAAGTGGTGTTACAGTCAGCGGTGTTATGCTAAGTGGTGTTACAGTCAGTGGTGTTATGCTAAGTGGTGTTACAGTCAGTGGTGTTATGTTAGGTGGTGTTACAGTCAGCAGTGTTATGCTAAGTGATGTTACAGTCAGTGGTGTTATGCTAAGTGGTGTTACAGTCAGTGGTGTTATGCTAAGTGCTGTTACTTTAACATTGACATGACATACATTGGCATGAAACTTGAAATGTAATTTGAATTTAATTTCAATATTCATGCCACTGTAATGGTAAAATGACCCAAGTGAGTTCAAAGTGGGTGGGTTTTATGTTTTCCTCTGATTTCAGGGAAATGTGTTGAAATGATTTCCTGAAGATCAGGATGAATCAGTGATGCAGAAATGCTGCAATGTTCCTTTAACCTCAGCAGCCAAAGGATCAGATTTGGCCTCTTTTACCGTTTCTAATAAAAGGCAAACAAAAGATTGGCTCCATTATCTCGGGAGAGATTTTGTCCCCACTAAGAGATAAACATTCACATAAACACACCAGCTTTGCTTATGCTGGAGGGAGAAAATGGAAAACAAAACAGTCCAAATTTCCATGCTGGGTCAAAAGTAACATTAGCTTTCAGAGTTAATGAACTCAGCGTTTAAATGAAGGGTTTTGTTATGACGGAAATTGTGAATTATTAGTAATTAGAGGCTATTAGAAGGTTTTACAACCCTAAAGCCCATTTAACGAATCTGTTCTGTCCCTCAGCGAGGCCTTTATTCAGCAGTGTGTGATGTGTTCTATAGTTTCTCATTAGGCTGAATGAATAACCGACTCTAAATGTAGGTATTGTGATATAAACTGAGTCTGTTCTACAGTTTCTCATTAGGTTGAATGAATAACCGACTCTAAATGTAGGTATTGTGATATAAACTGAGTCTGTTCTACAGTTTCTCATTAGACTGAATGAATAACTGACTCTAAATGTAGGTATTGTGATATAAACTGAGTCTGTTCTACAGTTGCTCATTAGGCTGAATGAATAACTGACTCTAAATGTAGGTACTGTGATATAAACTGAGTCTGTTCTACAGTTTCTCATTAGGTTGAATGAATAACCGACTCTAAATGTAGGTATTGTGATATAAACTGAGTCTGTTCTACAGTTGCTCATTAGGCTGAATGAATAACTGACTCTAAATGTAGGTATTGTGATATAAACTCAGTCTGTTCTACAGTTTATCATTAGGCTGAATGAATAACTGACTCTAAATGTAGGTTCTGAGTAATATAGACTGATATATACTAGAAAAGACACATATAGGTACTATAGACTGATAGAGGTCTGGCTTATTGGACCCTAATCTTCAACTAAATTGAAGTGTCTATGGTGAATTACCATTGGAAGTGTTTAATCTAGGCTTATGCTTAATCTAGGTCTAATACAGATAATACAGACTAATAGGGAGTAATTAGATGAGGACAGAATAGTATAGACTAATATAGTGAAATATATTAATATAGACACTATAGAATTAGTATTGATTAATGTGAAAATGTAGATAGAACAGAATTCATATAGACTAATATGGATCATATAGATTAAGATAGGCTAATATAGACTAATACAGAGTAATATAGACAGATATACTAATATAGATTCTGTAGAATTACTATCCATTAAAAGAAACTAATATATAAATAGATAACATAAATAGATAAAATAGACTAATACAGGTAATAAAGAGAAATACAGGTATATAGAGTAATATAAGTAATATAAACACAGACTAATATGGACAAACACAAGTAGTACAAAATAAATGTAGATTAGTACAGACAATTATAGATATGTAGAGTAATATAAGTAGTATATAATAGTATATTGCTGATGTATTACTTGTATGTATAGGTAACATATCGCTGAATAAAACCTCGTATCCAGTTTTTGACATGTTTTGAAAATGCCTGTTGTCCTTTACATTGTATGTGAATTTAATGATGAATGAACCAAAAGAAACAACCTAAAATGACTTGGAAAAAAGTCTGGTTCCATAGACTTACATTAAAAGTAGACTATGTTTTTTCTTTCTCCTGTAAAGTTACCATTTCGGAGATACGAGGTTTTGATCTCACAGCAGCGACACAGATACTGAAGAGTAAAATAGTTGTGTACTGTGTGTAATGTACAGTATTGTATGCAGTGCAATGTAGAGGTGATTTCTGACCGCGGGTCGTTTCCACTCCACTATGATGGGCGGTGGGGTTGTGTAATAGAGGGAGCTGTTGGTGCAGGGGAACTCTGGGTCCTCAAACAGCTTCTTATGTTCCAAACAATCCTTCTTCAGTTCAGAGTAGTTCTGGTTCTTGTACGGAACCACTGTGGAGAACATGATTCTGGCCTTCTCTTCCTGTTCTTTCTGGAAAGATGGAGTGAGATCTGGATCAGAAATCAACATCAGTGACTTCACTCTCCACAGTTATGTGTTCATTAACAAAATAATTCTTTTTAGGAAAATTTTGGCCAAAGGTCAATATTTTCACAATTGACAATTATTGTGAAAATGATTGATTCGAATTGCCGAATGACTCAACGTTTCAGAGTGCCAGATGGACCATGTTTCAAATTGGTCATTAAGGTCATCAGGTGCTCTTCTATTAAATCTTCCAATAAATAAATCAAAATCATGCATAATTATTGTTTATTTGCTGATTTTAACATATTGGAAAAAAATGAAAACATACCTGCTGCCTGGGCAAACATTATAGTACATTTTGTATTTTGTCTTTTATGTTTAAATAGAAATTGTGCACAAAAAATTGCCGTAAAATATCGTATTTAAGTGTTTTTCTTTTGTGGATTTGGTAACAAATTTACTTAGAAACTTAACAACTTAGAAAATCAACAAAACAGATCATTTGATTGGGAGGGGTTGACAGTTTTGCACATATATAACTTGTGTAGGCTTTAATGTGGTTATTGCAAACTAACGTATTAAAACATTTAAAAAAGCTGAATATAACTTTTATCAATGCGTGGGTCACTCCTCTAACCTAGCGCTTATGCACAATAATTTACCTTAAATTATATTAAGTTTATTATTCTTATAAAAAAAGCAATAAGCAATGTTATCATATATATATATATATATATATATATATATATATATATATATATATATATATATATATATAGTTGTCGGAAGAAAACCTTGTGTCTCCATTTTTGTCATTTTTCAAAATACCCTTTACATTGTATGTAAATTTCATGATGAATGGATTAAAAGAAATGACTCAAAATGAATTGGAAAAAATTCTGGTTCCATTGACTTACATTAAAAGTAAAGTATGTTTTTTCCTTCTCCTGTAAAGTTACCATTTTGGAGATATGATGTTTTGTTCCAACAGCAGCGACATGTAAATATAGGCTCATGGTAGTATGTTTGGTTGCCATGGTATAGTTAGTATGGTTGCTAAGCAACTTAATGATTAAATATTATTCTATGAACAGCACAATGTTTTATTTAATAATTGTGCATTAGAACAGAGTGGCTTAGCCAATCAGAGAACACCAAAACAATTTGTTTTGTAAATAGTAACATTCCACTGTCACAAATATTTACAAGTGTGGTATTAACTTATGAAAAATCAACCTTTATGATGTGCTACACTCAAAAAATAAATTGTTTTATGAACAATTTAAAGAGTCAGTACACAGACTTGGTTACCTCAACGTAAAGTTCAGTTGTTGACAGAACAAAATCGAAACATTTCAGTGAAGTTTATTTGGTTTTCTTGTAAAAAAGGAATGGAATTCTCTTTGGATCAGCAGAAACAGGTGTCCTTCATTGAAATGTACTTTCATTCATTTTAGTCCATTTTACACCAACCAGCTACTTCATGACAGCACAGTTAATGAGGTAAAACAAACCTATTTTTCAGTGTATGTTATTAGAAACTGGCAAAAACATTTTGTTGAAACTTCTTTGCCCAAACTCAGTCTGCTCGCTCTAATAAACACGGGGGACTGTTCCCAGATCACTGTTGCTGTTTTGAGACACTGACCAGCAGGTCAGAAAGTTAAAATAGCTGAGAAGCTCCAGCGTCAGACAGCGACAAGTCTGACACCCAGAGGAGAAATCTTTGATCCTTCTGGAGTTTTCTGTGAATTCATATCTGTTTGGCAGGAAAAGGTCAGAATTATTTAATTTGTTTTTTATTTTTCTAGCTCTTTATGCGTTTAACAAATGTTTTCCTCTGATGGTTTATGAATGTTTATTTTGGATTAAGTGACTGACTGACGGGTACACTCCATCCTCTGAGAGCACTTTTATCAGGATTATTGCTTTTATTGAAAAGTACATGCAAATAAAACAGGCTGTGAATAAATATAAAAATAGTTTTTCCAAAATCACGCACTTACGCTAAACTAGAATGTGCGCCAAACACAAACTAAAAGAAAGTCCTACAAAGGTCAACACTTTAGTTTCCATATCGTCGCTGTCTAAAGAAAAACTAGTATCTCCACAATAGTAACTTTACAGGAGAGGGCGAAAACGTGCTGTACCTCTAATAAAAGTCAACAGGAAACAGATTTTTTCTAAGCAATTTTGGTGCCTTTTTATTGGTCCATTCATCAAGAAATTTTTACACAATGTAAAGAATGGCTGCCGTGTTCAAATCAAGTGGAAAAGTGAAAATCGGAAAAAATGGAGATGCGTGTTTTTCTTTGGACATTGACGATATTTTAACCCTTTAAAGTCCCAAATTCCACACTAAAGCCAGGCGTACACTGCGATTTTAGCCCAATTTGTTCGGAGCCGACTGAACTGCACGATCGGGCCGAATTTCAGTTTCATCAGCCGTCGTTTGCTGTGCAGTGTGAGAGGAGAAACGATGGCCGATTAACTGCCCAAAGGATTTCTGACATGTCAGGAATTTTGGCCGCTGGTCTCACAGTGTGAGCAGCCTCACGTACCGATTTCTCAAAGTCGCACCCAAAACCACGCACAGGCACAACCACCGCTCCTACATGGAGGCAAAAGAGTCCACGTTTGTGGCAGCAGCGTCCGTATATGACGACTTCGCTCTGTTTGACTGAGTTGAATTGTGAGGTATAAATAAATACAGTGATTTGATTATTTATTTATTTATTTATTTATTTATTTATTTATTTGTAGAGCTGCCTCTAGACAACCTGCTCTTCAGCTTCAGTGCACAGAGTAGCACAAGTTAATAAGAGAACACTGGTGAGTCAGAATCTTCGTCAGAACTGCGTAAGTGGGTTTTAAGAAGACATTTCTTCTTAAGAACGGTTGGTGAATGAGGCCCAATGTTAGTAAATACATGGAATTACATTAAATGGAAATTTTTACTTTCTAGATATAAGAAGATAAAAACAACCCTAAAACTATCAATGAGCTCTGAAATATAACATCAAAAACCAAAGTAAAGAAAAAATCAATAAAAATAAAAACTAATGACATTTGAAAAACAATAATAACCTGCTTGGGACTTTAGTTCTGCTGTTCTTACTTAGTTGAAAAAAAAATGCAATTTTCAAAACACATCCAGGTGTCCCCAAACTTTTGATGGGCAGTGCAGTACTGTAAAAACACTTCTGTAAATCCAAAACTGACCGAAAGTCAAAAGACTTTGCTGGACCTTGTTTATGAGACCCTGCTGGATGTTTTAAGGCTCTGTTGGCCTCAAAGTTTCGTGTTTTGCACATTTTAATGATTTCACTGCTAATTATTAAACATTATGAGTTTACAAATTCATGATTTTAAGAGTGAGGAATGTTAAAGAGGCACAGAGATGATGCTGTCACTGTCCATCTTATTACTGATTGAGTTAAATATGGACTAAAGTGATTAAAATCAAACTGAGCAAAACCTTTCAAAGATTCTAAAATACTGTTTTGGAACGAGATAAAATAGATCCACATAAAATTACTTTAATATATATATATAGACAACCTGCTCTTCAGCTTCAGTGCACAGAGTAGCACAAGTTAGCAAAGTTGTTGTAGCGGTTTCTCAATGGCTGAATCTCAAACGGCCCCTCCTTCCTATGTAGTGCACTAAGTTCTGGTTTCTACACCAAAATAGTTCCCTGTTTGTCCAGTATGGAACTGTGAACACACAGCTGAAGTATTAAAGCTATTTATTAGACATGTGATGCACTTTATGGGTGCAGGATCCACTATTTTAATATGTGGTGCACTATGTAGTGAGCAGGGAGCTGTTTGAGATTCAGCCAGTGTTTTTGCTCAGTACTCGGAGAAACGGCATGTTGTTTTGAACGAAAAAGCTTTACGGGAAGTTGTCTGTAGACTGTAGTGGCTGCATTTCACTTGCAGTGTGAGCACCCATGTTGCATCATGTTGGTCAGACCGAGTGTTTTCGTACAGTGTGAGTATATAAATCGCAGACTTTGGCCGAACGCGATGGGTGATTCAAATGTACAGTGTGAGTCACCAAAGAACAATTTCTAAAATCACACAGTGTCTTATTACTCACAGGTCTATTACTCAGTAACTACAGGGACTTCAATGCAAGCCAGGCTATTCTTAGGTTATAGAAGTGTGTAAGAAAACGTTTGGCCATTTAAGGGGTTAAATAAATAACTATAAATGATGGCCTTAAAGTACATTCAAACCCTAAACACTCAGGTGAGGCGGGTGCTAACTTAGGACTGCTAAAATGGCAACAATCATTGGGCCTCATTCTCTAATATCCTCCTAAGTTTGTTCTTAACTGTGTTCTTGAGAAAGATCCTAAAAAAAAGTCTACATCAGATTCGTGACGTGTTCTTAAAGCGCAGAACTGTTCTCACCTTTGTGCTCTTGAGTGTGTGTAGATTCTGTTCTTACCGAAGAACAGATCCCAAATAAGAGAACACTGGTGAGTCAGAATCTTCGTCAGAACTGCGTAAGTGGGTTTTCAGAAGAAATTTCTTCTTAAGAACGGTTGGTGAATGAGGCCCAATGTTAGTAAATACATGGAATTACATTAAATGGAAATTTTTACTTTCTAGATATAAGAAGATAAAAACAACCCTAAAACTATCAATGAGCTCTGAAATATAACATCAAAAACCAAAGTAAAGAAAAAATCAATAAAAATAAAAACTAATGACATTTGAAAAACAATAATAACCTGCTTGGGACTTTAGTTCTGCTGTTCTTACTTAGTTGAAAAAAAAAATGCAATTTTCAAAACACATCCAGGTGTCCCCAAACTTTTGATGGGCAGTGCAGTACTGTAAAAACACTTCTGTAAATCCAAAACTGACCGAAAGTCAAAAGACTTTGCTGGACCTTGTTCATGAGACCCTGCTGGATGTTTTAAGGCTCTGTTGGCCTCAAAGTTTCGTGTTTTGCACATTTTAATGATTTCACTGCTAATTATTAAACATTATGAGTTTACAAATTCATGATTTTAAGAGTCAGGAATGTTAAAGAGGCACAGAGATGATGCTGTCACTGTCATCTTATTACTGATTGAGTTAAATATGGACTAAAGTGATTAAAATCAAACTGAGCAAAACCTTTCAAAGATTCTAAAATACTGTTTTCGAACGAGATAAAATAGATCCACATAAAATTACTTTAATATATATATATATATATATATATATATATATATATGAAAAACAACAGAGAGTGAAAAATCTAAATCTAAGTGAAGTAATCTATGAATCTGCCTGAATCTACCTGACTTTACTCAAAGCTACCTGAATCTATATGAATCTACCAGCTAGAGGTGTTTATAATAGAACAGGTAACTTACAGAAGAAGTGTCCTGTCACCCAGCGAGTCCCTGCAGGTAAACTGAAGAGTTTCTGCTCTTCACCCAGCCCCTCAACCTGACCTGCTTTTTTCAGTATTTTGACAACACCCTTTCTGTCCTCTGAATGGCTGGAGTGCTGTAGTGCTTATTATGGACGGGAACTTCCTTGTGATGCAATGAGAGAGAGAGAGGGAGAGAGAGGGAGAGAGAGAGAGAGAGAGTATGCAGTAGAGTAAGTTCTTTACCTTTTCAGTGGAGCATACAGTGTGAAAACAGTTTCCCTCCCATTTTACCCCAAATGTAGTAAGTAATGTAGATAACAAGTAATAGAAACTCCACCAGTCCACCAGGAAAGTCCACCAATTAGCATGGTGCTAACTGCACACCTACATTATCACTCACTCCGCTCAGAGTGTGTGGAGGTGTTTGGTGTCTCTAATAGTCTTGATGATGTGGTTTCTGACACTGTATGACTCACTGTTATCTATAAACATGGGCTAAAGCAAAGCTAAAGCAGTTTATTACATGTTAATATTTAACAGTGAGTCGTACAGTATCAGAAACCACATAATCAAGACGTGTCAAGATGTGATCTGATGAGGTTATTAGTAGATTATGACTGTATCAATAATGATGTGTTTCTGTCTGTAAACCTCACCTTTAGTCTGTGTGTGTGGCCCAGGTTTATGCCACACTGTGGGGACCAAAACATGAAAACTGTTCATACACCCATGTTGTGGGGACCCTTCTACCTTGTGGAGACCACAAGCTAGACCCATATAGTAAATCATTAAATCTTAAGGTGAAGGTAAGGTTAAGGTTAGGGTTAGGATTAGGGTTAGGCTAGTAGAAGTGCTGGTTAAGGTTTGGGGAAGTCTCCAGTAAATGAATAGAAGTCTATGTAATGTCCCCACAATTTACATAAACAAGATTGTGTGTGTGTTTGTGTATGAATGTGTGTGTGTGTGCTCGGTATGACTGCTTGGCTACAGCTACACATCTAAAAATAGTGTGCATGTGAGTGTGTGTGTGTGTGAGTGTGTGTGTGTGTGTGTGTGTGTGTGTGTGTGTGTGTGTGTGTGTGTGTGTTGATAATACAGTGATAATGTTGATGCACTGCAGGCGCTCGTTTCACTCAGAGTGATGAAAAGTGGAGCCATTTATAAACACATACGTACCGATTACACCCTGTTATGCATGTATACTTCATTTATTCAATGTCCACTCAAAAAGGCCATTTAGTACAAGTTGTTCATTTTTCAGTGTCAGTAAAAAACAGTAGTGAGTCACTACATCATTACAGCCTCCACTCTTTTCAGGACCCTCACTTTCAGCTCCTCAAAGAATCTGCAGACACACCTCCAAAGTTCAGTCTGAGAAGCTGGTTGATCATTTTCTAAAGTAATCAAACACATTCAGTGGTGTTGAGGTCTGGACTCTGGGGTGGTCAGTCCATCGTTCAGCTTCTTTGTTTGATGTGTCCGTCTCCTTTTCTCAGTGAGGTTCTTCTTGATCAGCGCTGAGTCGTCTTCTCACAGTGGAAGGATGGACAGAAACACCTGTGGATGTTTTCAGATCTGATCAGCTTGATTTTCTCCTCTCTCTCAGAGATGAAAGCTTTAAGTGCTGCTTATCTGATGGGGGCAGGTTTGGGGTCGACCAGCTCTTCCAGGTGGTTGTTAGGAGCCACATTTTCTCTGGAGCTTTTAATCAGTTTTGGAAACTTTTTGACTTTCTCATTTCTTATGCTGGTCTCCTCAGAAAAACCTCCTGAAAATTGACAAACTTGTACTTAATGGCTGTTTTGACTGGAAGTTAAATAAATGAAGGGGGTCTCTGAGTTTGGTCTTGCACTTTTTTCTGCTCTCTCCTTCTGGATGAACTTTATGTAAATGAGTTACATGGTGTCCAATCACATTGTTGATGCGTGGCGTGGTAACCAGTTGTGTTGCACCCACAGTCATGAACCCACACCAGCAGATTTAACGGTTGATAAAAAGAATGCATTATGTATTTTTAGTTTAAAAACAATATTAGACACACTTTCTTTCTTTGCAAGTCAACCTGCGCAAAGCGGCCAGCAGGGGGCGAGAGAAGCTTCTCCTGTAGTTACTATTTAGGAGATACGAGCAATATATAGTAATTCTGACTGGCATTAATAAGAGAACTGAGTTTGTGATTGTGCTAACAGACAATAGAGGTAAAGATAAAACTCTGGCGTGTTTCTACACAGAGAAAACTGACAATACATTCCTCTCTCTCTCTCCCTCTCTCTCTCTCTCTCTCTCTCTCTCTCTCTCTCTCTCTCTCTGGTAGAGATAAGTAAGGCTGGTGGAATGCAGAGGAGTGAGGATTAAAGTGAAAAAGCACATTGTAGCCTAATGAAAGCTGTGATGTGTCTAGTCCCAAAAGAGCAACTTACGGGAAGTTTTCGTTCAGCTCCTCATATTCATGACTTCCAGTATATCTGAATGTTACTAACCCTGAAGACTGTTTTTCTACCACAAAAGTACCATAGCAGTGTTTGATTATCTGGAATGTGTGAAATTCACTTTAATCTCCTCTTGGTTTGTGTAATATAACAGTGTTTAGAAGCAGATAAACAGCTCACAGTGAGAGCCAGACTGGCTAAATACAGCCTCCATATGGAGGTGGGGGAGTTTAACGCACTGTTACAGTTAAGATCCCCAAAGTAAACAATCGGAGGAGACGATTTACCCACATATATATTCAAAACAACTGTCATTGTTTAGCAAATTTCTATGGAAAGATTCATCAATGCATTGGAAAGTTAGTCCGGTCCAAACAACACAGAACTCGACTGAATTAACTGTGTTTTGCAGAAAGAGACAACTCACCCTCCATCTGTTAGGCCTGATTCACACATGCTGCGCCTGAGCGGCGCGAACGACGCGGAAAGTCATCCTTTTTATTTCGTTGCCCATGTTAACTGGTCAGCGCTTCCACACAGGCTGTGTGTGCGAAGCAGCAGAGCGTCCTAGACGCCGCACTGAAGTGGTGAGGTATTCAACACACACGTCACGCAGCAAAATACACTAAATAAGCCATGAAAATCAGTGAAAATTGAATAGAAAACCAAAAAATAATTCATGACCAAAATACCAGCTCTGTGCTGCACACAGATTTCCTGGTTGGTCTACCAGGCTTGAAATGTTTGCTGAATGCTGTTGAGGGTAAACAAATGTACGGTGCACTTTTATAGATTATGTTTTTATTGAGCAGATTGACTGATGTGACCATAAATAGGAAAGCGTCTGTATAACTGCGTGTGAGTGTGTGTGTGTGTGTGTGTGTGTGAGTGTGTGTGTGTGTGTGTGAGTGTGTGTGTGTGTGTGTGCGTGTGTGTGTGTGTGCACTGCTGTAAGTACGCTGGTGCAATATGGCTGCCGATTTGCCGGTTTTCTGTTAGTTTTGTATTGTTCATGTGTTTGTTTTGATGTTTGAAATCTGAGATGTTTGCCATCATATCCACCAAGATAGCGGCCGAGAGTGACTCTCCAGCTGTGGCTCAGAGGCTTATTGGACTGGCTGTTTGGGTGACACTACATCTCAGCTATTATGCAGCCCTGACCGGCCACTTGAGTGACGCTGCGTTGTGGCTACGGGGCTCTCTGGACTGGGACCTGATTGACGTGACATTGCAGCCTGGGCTGGCTGCTTGGTTGACGCTGCACTGCAGCTGTGGGGCTACTGGACTGGTGGTGTTCAGCTGCATGAGCAGCACTACGCCGCAGCTCTCGGGTCGGGCGCTTGGGTTACACTGCGTTGCAGCTATGAGGCTGACTGGACTGGTGGTGTTCAGCTGCAGGAAAATGCTACCCCTTCATGGTGAAGGACATTTTTGGCCTTCGAGGCTTCCCGGTTCAGCCTCTTGTGTGATGCACCATAGTTGCAGTGTGAGACTCTTCCACGACTAAAGACTCTTTTCGGGCTGGCTAAGTGACTCTATACTGTGGTCAGTGAAAGTCCCAACTGAACCATGCCTGAGTCCAACTGAACCATGCCTGAGTCCAGCTGTACGGTGCCTGAGTCCAACTGAACAGTGCTCGAGTCCAACTGAACCGTGCCTGGGTCAAACTGAACTCTCCCTGAGTCCAACTGAACCGTGCATGAGTCCACCTGAACTCTCCCTGAGTCCAACTGAACCATGCCTGAGTCCAGCTGAACCATGCTCGAGTCCAACTGAACCATGCATGAGTCCAGCTGAACCATGCCTGAGTCCAGCTGAACCATGCATGAGTCCAACTGAACCATGCATGAGTCCAACTGAACTGGGCATGAGTCCAACTGAACTGGGCATGAGTCCAGCTGAACCATGCATGAGTCCAACTGAACTGTGCATGAGTCCAGCTGAACCATGCATGAGTCCAACTGAACCGTGCATGAGTCCAACTGAACTCTCCCTGAGTCCAGCTGAACCATGCATGAGTCCAACTGAACTCTCCCTGAGTCCAACTGAACCATGCCTGAGTCCAGCTGAACCGTGCTCGAGTCCAACTGAACCATGCATGAGTCCAACTGAACCATGCATGAGTCCAACTGAACTGGGCATGAGTCCAACTGAGCTGGGCATGAGTCCAGCTGAACCATGCATGAGTCCAACTGAACCGTGCATGAGTCCAACTGAACCGTGCATGAGTCCAACTGAACCATGCATGAGTCCAACTGAACCGTGCATGAGTCCAACTGAACCGTGCATGAGTCCAGCTGAACCATGCATGAGTCCAACTGAACCATGCATGAGTCCAACTGAACCGTGCATGAGTCCAACTGAACCATGCATGAGTCCAACTGAACCGTGCATGAGTCCAACTGAACCGTGCATAAGTCCAGCTGAACTGTGCCTCAGTCCAACTGAACCATGCATGAGCCCATCTCTTCAAGCGGGCCTGGGTACATTACAGGGTTATCACACTATTCAAATGAACTGGACTTTGGGGGTCAAACACGAGAGGTTTAAATTATTAAAATTATTAAAATATAACATACACTGTGCTGGGCTGTAATTCCTGCTGTTATAAACATAACCGCATTGTAACCTGACTGATATTAACATTTTGTGGCCGATATTAATTGTAAGGGGTTAAATTTTCTCTCAAAATAGTTTATATTTATATTTTTTAATTTTATACTCCAGTATTACATCACCAGGGGGTGGAGCTACCCAGAATTCATTACAGTTACCGTTTCTGTTAATTGGCTCCTTTATTTTCATTGGTCTCTTCATAAAGAGTTTGTTGTGTTGACCTTGTGCTGTGGTGTTTTGTGGTCAGATTGTCCAGATCAGTCTGTGAATGTAACAGCTGCACTGTTTAAGGTGGATAAGCGGTCAGTTTCAGCTTTTTAAGGTGGATAAGCAGTCAGTTTCAGCTTTTTAAGGTGGATAAGCGGTCAGTTTCAGTTTTTAAAGGTGGATGAGCGGTCAGTTTCAGCTTTTTAAGGTGGATAAGCGGTCAGTTTCAGCTGTTTAAGATGGATGAGCGGTCAGTTTCAGCTTTTAAAGGTGGATAAGTGGTCAGTTTCAGCTGTTTAAGGTGGATAAGTGGTCAGTTTCAGTTTTTAAAGGTAGATAAGCGGTCAGTTTCAGTTTTTTAAGGTGGATAAGCGGTCAGTTTCAGCTGTTTAAGATGGATGAGCGGTCAGTTTTAGCTTTTTAAGGTGGATAAGTGGTCAGTTTCAGTTTTTAAAGGTAGATAAGCGGTCAGTTTCAGCTTTTTAAGGTGGATAAGTGGTCAGTTTCAGCCTCGTAGTTCCAAATGAATGTAAACAAACGAGTGAAAAGCAGAGAGAAGAGGAAAGAACGTACCTTTAACTCCAGCTGTGTTTCTGTGTGCTGCTTCACTTTAGCCACACCCCCAAAACCTGAGCACTGCCCACTTTAACCAAAACAGTACACACACACAGTCTCTCTCTCTCTCTTTCTCTCTCTCTCCCTCTCTCTCTCTCACACACGCTATCTCTCTCTCTCTTTCTCTCTCCTCCTTTTTCTGTCGCTTTCTTTTTCTCTCCCGCCTCTCTCTCTCTTTCCCTAATCTCTCTCTTTTTTCTTTCTCTCTCTTCTCTCTCTTTCTGTGTACAGACAGAGTTTAAGTATTTTGAAGTTTGCTGTGCACTCAGAGAGAGAGAAAGACAGAGAGAGGCAGAGAGAGAGAAATAGAGATTTATATATCTATAAAGAGTGAGAAACAGAGTGAGACAAAAGGAGGTAGAGAGAGAAAGAAAGGGACAGAGAATGTGTGTGTGTATGTGTGTATGTGTGTGTGTGTGAGAGAGAGAGAGAGAGAGAGAGAGAGAGAGAACATGTTTTTCTGCAATTTAACTGCAATGATCTCCACATGACTATGAAATATATGAATTAAATGACATGAAGAAAACAAAGGCTAAATAAATATTATAAGATATATAATGAAAGTTCCCCAAAAGTCGAGTCACTGGTGTTACTGCGTAACAAAAAATCTCTTATTTTGAAATAAAAGTCACACTGATGACATCACTCGACTTCTTTTACCTGTTTTCTGAGGATCTATGAAGAAAAGCTCATGGTGAGTCCACTGTGTCTTTCAGTTATCAGAGATTTTCTCATTTAGCTCATGATTTCATATGAAGCTTTTAGCTGAAGTCACTGGTGTGACCGACTTTATTCTGAGGTAACTGGGAAAAAATAGAACACAAATGGATTAAATTACATATTTTAGTGGATATTCCATGATTGACAACAGGTGGTTTGATGCTTGGTAGCGGTTATTTTGTAAAATGTATTGTTCATTAAAATGTCTCTGGTGTTTCCTTTAGTATGTGGAACACCAATGAGGACCAGTAACACCAGTGACTCCTATGGAGAGATAGAAAAGTGGATGTTTCTGTAGAATGACCCAAATATACATTTATATATATATATATATATATATATATATATATATATATATATATATATATATATATATATAGATAGATAGATAGATAGGTAGATAGATAGATATGTATATTCACTGTTGTCGGAACAAAGCCTCGTATCTCCAAAGTGGGAACATTAAAGGAGAAGATAAAAACATACTTCACTTTTAATGTAAGTCAATGGAACCAGACTTTTTTCCAAGTAATTTTTGGGTCGTTTCTTTTGGTCCATTCTTCATGAAATTGACACACAAAGTAAAGAACAACAGACACTTTCACATTATATCAAAAACTGAAAAATGACGAAAATGGAGATACAAGGTTTTGTTCTGAGAGCAGCGATATACATATATACAAGCGAGAGAAACAGAGTGAAAGAGAGAGAGAGTGAAATATATATATATATATATATATATATATATATATATATATATATATATATAGATATAGATAGATAGATAGATAGAGACAGAGAGAGAGCGAGAGAGTGAGAGAGTGAGAGAGTAGAGAGAGAGAGAGAGAGAGAGAGAGAGAGAGAGAAGAAAGTACAGCTCTGCATACTTCTCATTTTTCCACACATCGTCCAGCAGAAACTCAGTTTCAGTATAATTCAGGATTAATGTTGCTGGATATACAGTCGTGTGCAAAAGTGTGTGCACCCTTGGTCAAATTCTGTGTTGTTGTTGATTTTCTGAGTGTAAAGTCACATCCTGCACATTTTAATACACAATTTTAGGTTTTATTTTTTTTTCTCCTACATTAAATTCAGCAAATAATATTCCAAACTCAGCTTTATAAGGAGCAGCAGTGAGTCTCTGTAGAGGACGTGTTCACTTATTCACACTCAGAGAATCAACACATACATGGAGTTTGATTGTGGTGTCCAGACGTTTACAAATGACCACATACTGGACAAAATTTATGAGCAAGCAGTGATTTACTCACAATTTCAAGAACATTTCACAACTGATATCCCTGAATAAGGACATCACAGGACAAAGATGCAGAACACACAGTGATCATGTTATAATATTGATAATTATAACTGATTAGGTCACATTAATCAATGCTAAAGTGCTTTAAATGGTGTTTATTACCTTTAGAACCTTTAAATTCGGGCCTGGATCCTGATGGACAGCATAGAGCACGTTCTTCTCACCATCATGAACTGGGTCCCATGCAGAGTGAGGTTCTCTGGAGCTGATCTTCTCTCTGTGTTCCTTCAGACTTACTGCTTGGTCGTCTTTCAGAACACGCCCACTTCTGCTTCACTGACCGGTGCTGACCCAACCTTCCTCTTCTGGTTCCCCTCAGTGGTTCTTTTTCATGTTGTTAGGAAAGTTCTCCTTTTAAGTCTTGGTTCCTCTAACAAGTTCTTCTTCACATTTCTACGGAGGTTCTGCTTTTGAGTTTTAGTTTCTTCTCAGTCGTTCTTCTTCATGTTCTAAGGGAAGTTCTCCTTTTGAGTCTGGGTTTCTCTCTGTGGTTTTTTTCTGATGTTCTTAGGGGAGTTCTTCTTTTGAGTTTTGGTTCCTCTCAGTGGTTTTCCCTGTTGTTTTTAGGGGAGTTCTTCTTTTGAGTCTTGGTTCCTGTCAGTGGTTCTCCCTGTTGTTCTTAGGGGAGTTCTTCTTTTGAGTCTTGGTTCCTCTCAGTGGTTCTCCCTGTTGTTCTTAGGGGAGTTCTTCTTTTGAGTCTTGGTTCCTCTCAGTGGTTCTCCCTGATGTTCTTAGGGGAGTTCTTCTTTTGAGTCTTGGTTCCTCTCAGTGGTTCTTCATGTTCTTAGAGAGGTTCTACTGTTGAATCATGGTTCCTCTCAGTGGTTCTCCCTGATGTTCTTAGGGGAGTTCTTCTTTTGAGTCTTGGTTCCTCTCAGTGGTTCTTCATGTTCTTAGAGAGGTTCTACTGTTGAATCATGGTTCCTCTCAGTGGTTCTCCCTTGAACTCCATGGTCTGTGTAACGGAAGCAGTGTTGAGAGCTGCAGGTCTGAACTGAGAGTGATGAAGTTGTTATTGTCAGTCACTCTTACTGATCTGACCAGCTCACAGTCCAGATGTTCAGATGGACGTCTGCACTTCTGCGGTGACTCATTAAACCCTTCATCCCGCTGCTCCGATGTGCTGCTAGCCTCTGAAAACCCAGAACATTTCAGGAAAAGAGGCACTGCAGGAGTGAAGAACCCATCAGAGAGAGGCAGAGCGTGGAAAAGCCCAGAGATCCACTCTGACGTCCAGCGTTCTCTCTGTCCGAATCCAGCACTGTGAGACCTGTTTACTTCCTCTTCAGCTCCGGCTTCACTGCAGGAGGAGATCTTTATTAAACTCGCTGTGGGCCGCTGTGTTTGTTTGTGTTTGTAAACTGACGTTCTCTTGGGAACCTCACACACAACATCATCAGCACGAGGAGATTTACAGGAACAGAGTCGTCATCACAGAAACACCACAGAGCAGCGACCGCACTCACTACTTACTGCAGTCCTTATTATTCACTCCTGTACTTACTGTTTAATTCTAAACATTAAAGAGAGAAAGAAAGAAAATATAATTAATAAAGGAATCAATGATTGAATAAAAATGAAAGAGAAATAGTAGAGAGAGAGAGAGAGAGCAAGAGAGAGAGAGAGAGAGAGAGAGAGAGCAAGAGAGAGAGAGAGAGAGAGAGAGAGAGATAGTATAGAGAGAGAGAGTGTACATATGTCACATGTCTCTATATGTGTGTGTGGATAAAGCTGTGATTTAGTAGATAGTAGAGAGAGAGAGAGAGAGAGAGAAAGAGAGAGAGAGAGAGAGAGAGAGAGAGAACACCATCAGTGAAATATAATGCAGTATATATAGTTGAATATATAATATTTAATATATAATATATAACACTGTTAATACATGTGAAATTACATTGATGGAATATCTTGGTGAATTGTGAGTGTATGAACTATGTGTGTGTGTGTGTGTGTGTGTGTGTGTGTGTGTGTGTGTGTGTGTGTGTGTGTGTGACTGTTTGATAGACTGATGTATATTACACAGTTTAGAAACAGTCATGTGATACGATCATACCAATAAAGCATTCTTGAATTGAAATGAAATTAAATGAGAGGGAGAGAGAGAGATAGATAGATAGTTGAGAGATAGAGAGAGAGATAGTAGAGAGAGAGCGATAGTAGAGAGAGATAGTAGAGACAGACAGCGAGAGAAAGAGATAGTAGAGAGAAAGAGAGAGAGAGAGACAGTGAGAGAGATAGAGATAGTTGAGAGGTAGAGAGAGAGATAGTAGAGAGAGAGAGAGTGAGAGAGAAAGAGAGAGATAGTAGAGAGAGAGAATGAGAGAGAGAGAGAGATAGTTGAGAGATAGAGAGAGAGAGAGATAGTAGGTGAGGACAGGAGAAGGACATTGAGCAGGACCAAGACCCTTCACTCTATACCTCCATTACCCTGATAAAGGAACACTTTACACGACTGGAGGTAGAGCTTGTACACCTTGGTCCTCAAGATGGTCCTCAAACAGGAACAGGACAAAGAGCTGAAGCACGAGAGAGACGCCTACAGAAAAGAGCTGGCTGAACTGAAAGAGCAGGTCAGAGAACTACAGAAGGACAGGGAGAAGGACAGGGACAGCTACAGGAAGGAGATGGCTGCACTGAGAGAGGAGCTGAGACAGAGAGACAGCACAGTGCAGAGTCTGAGAGAACAGCTACTCTCCTCCAATCAGCAACAGAGTCTTCTAACAGCAGATACCTCCACCCAGACTAACCCGTCCCCCCAGCTTCAGCCTCCACCTTCAACCTCAACCTCCACCAGCTTGCAGAAGCCTCCTCCACCTTCTACCCCCACAAGCTCACGGCAGTCTCCTCCCAGCCAACAAGCACATCTAGAGCCCAGTGTCCAAGACACAAACAGAGAAAGAAGAACCACAGACCAGCTGGACATTCTGCACTTCTAATAGACTCCAACGGAAAATTTATCGATGAGAAAAAACTCCTCCCCAGGCACAGAGTGGCTAAACTCTGGTGCCCTTCTACACGAAAAGCACTGGAATTACTCACAGAGGCAACACTAGGGTCACCAAGCCACATCATAATACACACAGGGACAAATGACCTCAGAGCTCAGCGTCCACCTATTCAAAGAATTAGTTCGTGTTTGCTAAAACATTGAAAGACGTCACACTGACCCACAATGTCACCACACTCCAGCGCAAAGCTGGACAAAACCCAAACACACGGCCATTGAGACGCACCCCAAGACCTGCAGATGGAGCAACTCCACAAGCCCTCCATCTGAGACCTCGACACCACGCCCCTCACTATCCAGAACAGCCAGCTAGGCAGACGAGGCACCGTAACAACCTCAGCCTCCCGCCAGCACCAGCACCTATGGCAGGAACACACACTGCACCACTGCCCCAGGGCCCAGCTCCACCTTCCCAACAACTCCAGACCAGGCCTGGAGTACTGACCTACGCTCAGGCTGTCAGTGGACCAGCAAACCCTAATAACTCTGAGCTCAGAGACATACAGCAGATGCTCAGCCAAGTCTGCACTTGTCTAATGGGACATGGTCTGTGGTAAGAATCACATTACCATAAAGGTAAAGGACATTAACAGTTAATGTTAGTTTAAAAAAATAAATAAATAAAATAAATTGTATATGACTCAATTTAAGTTCAGTGAGTAAGACATCAAATTCTATTTTCAAAGATTCATTATAACTTTATTTTATTTATTTGCAATAATTTTCCCATTTCAAAAACATGAATAGCAACACACTTCAGCTTGTACAGAATGACATCTTTTCACATTTCTGTATGGAATATTCAAGGTTTAAACTCCTCTTTATTTGGTTTAAAAAGTAGAAACCCTGATTTTTTGAAGGAAGTAGGAAATGTTGATATATTAATTTTGCAGGAAACATGGTGTAGAGGAGACGAGCCCACTGGTTGTCCCCCAGGCTACAGGGAGTTAGTGGTCCCCTCCACCAAGTCAAAAGGAGTGACTCAGGGGAGAAACTCAGGGGGGGGTGCTCATATGGTTTAAATCAGAACTAACCAATTCCATTGAAACAATAAAACAAGGACAAAATAATTTGTGGTTAAAAATTAGTACGCAATTAATCTCAACACCTCAAAATCTATTCCTCTGTGCAACATATATCCCTCCTTTAGAATCCCCCTATTTCAACGAAGAAACCTTCCCAAACCTAGAAAATGAAATCAGCCATTTCCAAAAACAAGGCCATGTAATTATCTGTGGCGACCTAAACGTGAGAACAGGAGAGCAACCAGACTTCATCAGCACTCAAGGTGATCACTTTATAACAGGAGATCATATTAATTTCCCCTCGTACTCCCCCAGAGAAAACTGTGACAAATCAGTAACGCACATGGGAAGAACCTACTGCAGCTCTGTCGAAGCCTGGGTCTGTACATCGTAAACGGACGGCTGCGAGGGGACTCCTTCGGTCAGCTCACCTACAGCTCAGCTCTAGGCAGCAGTACGGTGGACTATGCCATAACCGATCTGGACCTAACTTTCCTGAAAGCCTTTACAGTCAAGCCATTAACACCCCTCTCTGACCACAGCCAAATCACTATATACCTGAAAAGAACAGCTACAAATGATAATCGGCAAAAACCCAACCAAATATACAAACTCAGACCACCCCTCAGGTGGGCTCAGGACTGCACCGAAAAATATCTCCATGCCATCAGCAGCCAAGATATCCAGACACTTCTTGACTCCTTCCTGTCAAACATCTACCCCCAAAATAGAGAGGGAGTCGACGTGGCTGTGGAAAACCTCAACAGAATTTTTAATCATGCCACACAAATTATAAATCTGACTGCTAAGTAAAACAAATCAAAGAGCTCTCAGCCAACAAATGGTTTGATCAGGACTGCAAAAAAAAGAAGCAAGAAGTTAGAAATGTATCCAATCAGAAACACAGAGAACCACATAATCAGGAACTGCGCACAAAATACTGTGAGATACTTAAAGAATATAAATGTATACTGAAAACAAAGAAGCACAAATACATGCAAAATCAAATAAATAACTTAGAGAAATCACTCAACTCCAATTCATTATGGGACCACTGGAAATCGCTAAACAGAAAAAAACAAGATGATATAGCAATTAGAGATGGGGATAAATGGAGAAACCATTTTGAAAAATTATACAGAACACCATCGGTAAATATA